AGCACAGGATGACGGCTAACACCACCTGGTGCCCGCTCTGTGGACTGTGGCACCCTAACTACTGGAAAGCCGAGAAAGGCATTTAGAGTGGAAGCTGTGGCTGCCCCTTTTCACCCAGTGGTTGCARTGTTCTCTGGGAACTGGTCACCTCTCTGGGTCTGTGCCTGATGGGTGCTTGTGTCATCCTTTATCATCGGCTCAGTAAGCTGGACAATTTGGGCCAATGAGAGGGGAGGAGAGGTATGGTAGAAGSTTCTGGAAAAGTTCCTCCTTAACTAAGAGCTTTCACAGGGATTCTTTCTCTACCTGGTGTACAGGAGGAAGAATGACCTCTAGGGGTGAGAGAAGTGGGGAGGGGAGGGAAGGAGGAGAAACCCGAGAGAAAAAAGGAACCTGAGTCAAGGGGACACCACTGAGCAGCTCAACTAACAGTGACCTCCCTGACGTGAGTTGTGCATTTCTTCATGTTTTTGTTGTTGTTGTTGTTTGGTTGGTTTTTTTGCACTGGGGATTAAACTCAGGGGCACTTTACCACTGAGCCCTTTTTATTTTATTTTATTTTTGAGACAGGAGCTCCCTAAGTTGCTCAGCGCCTCACTAAATTTCTGAGGCTGGCTTTGAACTTGGGATCCTCCTGCCTCAGCCTCCAAGCCCCTGGGATTACAGGCCACCTGCGGGCTTTTCATAGAATCAAGTCCCTGGCAGCGGAAAGATTCCCACAGGATTTAACCTTCCCCTCTGCAATCCTATGGAAAGGCCAGGACACTAACAAGAAATACTGTTTGGAGATCGTGGAGATTATGCTGAGAAAATCAGAAGCCTGTGGTGCCACCTGCAATAGAAAAGGCACCTCAAGCTTGCAAAATGACCAAGCAAACCCTGGGTGGAGGGTGACAGTGGTTCCTCTGCGTCCTCCGCTATCCCACAGGTTGCTCACCTCCTCCGGGGTGGAGACGAGCGAGCAGCTGGCCCCCTGGCTGTCTACTCCGCTGTCCTTCACACTG